TGTAAAAAACTTCAGCATTCTATTCGCTTTCTCGTCTGAGGCAAGAGCGGATCTCACGATGTGGCTTCATTTCATTTAACACTTTAATGGAAAATCAGTTTGGTTCATTGAAGTCTGGGAATCCTCCTATACTCTTAGTCTGTATACGGATGCTACAGGGTCTTTGGGATATGCGGCTGTTTTCGGTTGGTGAGTGGGATGGAAGTTGTGCTGATTTACGTATTACAATAAAAGAGTTGTTCCCAATTGTTTAAGCTTTGGAAATCTGGGGTTCAAAAATGAGCAATAAAAAAATTTGTTTATGTCAGCAAGATGGCAATGGTGCACATTATAAAAAAAACAATCTATTAAGGACAAGTTTCTTATGCGTTTAGTACGCAGATAAATTCTGGTCTCCTTGTCGCACAGCCTTCTGTTTTGAGCAAAGCATATACCAGGTAAATACAATATTATAGCAGATAAGTTGTCTCGCTTTCAATTTCAGGCAGTCGGGGAGAAGGCTCCTCACCTCGACCAGCGGCCGACTCATATTCCCCGACAGCTATTACAGATCTGAACCTAGTTACCTGTTCCATTTTGGCTGCTTTTTCTTTCAGGAGCTTCATGTACTGCTGGTACTCCTGTCACCTACTCGTATGTCATTTCTCAGCTTTCGACGGCCAAAGCTTTTGCAGGCTTTGACCCTAAACGGTTCAAAGGTCACAGATTTTTGAATAGAGTCAGCCACTTATGCTGCAAAGTTAAGTTATTCAGAGAGTTGCATTCAACATCTCGGACGTTGGAATTCAAACTCGTTACATTGGTATATTAGGATAAAATCGTTTCAACTTTTAACTTGCATCATCAAATAGATAGTTAGGTAAATACAGGTAAGTGATTAACTGCTATTTGAGTCTTTTGCACTGTAAAAATGCATATTAAGTTAGGTATATGGAAAGCAAGTTAGCGATTAGCTTTTGCTGTTCATTTAATTTTATTAGCGAATATTTTTATATCATTGTACTGTTCAGATTGAGACAGGCCAGTAAATAACTGCTGTAAATATTTTGGTAGCCCTTCCCTCACCCGACTTGCTTGCTGACTCATATATATATATAACGAGAATTGATAAATCCATGCCTTTCCTTTATAATGAATTTTTATAGCATTAAGGCAGGTCAGTGCCTACTTGCTGTCCATAAAAAAAATGGTTGTATATGCATGATTTTGAATGTTATTCTTTGTTTGATGATTATCAAATTCCAGTCCTATCTTAACAAGCCAGTGAATTACTGCTGGCTAAAATTTGGACAATTGTTGTTACTTTTAATTTAATTGAAATAGTATTTTGTTTGCAGGCTGACCTTGGATGGCACGGATGTGATATATGATCACATCTTGTGGCAAATTTGTTCAGATGTTCCATCTTTTTGCTATATCTTTCTTATTAGGTTGATTCTCTTGTCTTAAATGTACTTTTTTCTAATCTTTTTTAGGGGAGCAGACATTTTTATATTTTGCTAAATTAACAATCTGAGCATGTGAGTCTGATCCCCTCTTTTGTATGTGAAATTGATTTTTCTTTGATTTCGTCATTTGAATAAATGATATAATTCATCTTTAAAAACGAGTTTTAGTCAATTTTATATATAGTTAGCAAAACCTAGCTGCAATGAACCTGATAAGCATTGAAAGACAAAAATACATATTTGCTTGGGGAGAATTGACGTCTTATAGTGTAACAAAATTCCTAAAAAGATCTTTAGAGAAAATTTAGTAAATTTCAGTAGAGTGTACAGCTTAACGCAAGTTTTAAGCTTACATGGTTTTTCGCACGAATTAAGCTCACATTGTTGTAATAAAAATTACCGTTTTCGAACTGCAGTACAATGACAAAGCCTTCGTTATATTACATATATAATGACTAGAATAAATGTCTTTTAAACAGATCTTAAGTTTCCAAAGTGGATGTTTAAAGGAAAAATTTATACATAAATGGTAGGATGTTTCGACTATACGATGCTACCATAGGTATTTAGATATTGTATGAAACGAGCTTTCTTTGATACCATGAAGAAGGATATGGAAATAACGAACGGTATTCAATCTCAACGTCCATTAAACAAATATACAAAATAAGAGCAGAGCAAACACGGACCTCCGAAACATCAGAGGTGGGATCAGGTGCCATGGAGGAGTGAGCATCCCTGCGGACCGGTCACACCCGCCGTGTGCTCCTTGTCATAATCAGGAAATAACGGAAAAAATCCGTGGTCAATTCAGTGTATAAATAATGGACTAACAATTGGTATGAAAAACGTCCGTCAGCATTTCATTCAATGATAAATTGTATTTGTTGACAAGGTCATTGTATCGACCATAGAATTTACGAAATGATGACTTCAAACGAGACTGTTGATATTCTTGTTTCATTAACTTGCTTGTCAATAATTTACCTCGTTTAAGAAATTGTTCATACGTAGAGCATGCTCTTGCGTATCGAATCAACTGAGATATAAATACTCCGTATGCAGGTGATGGAGGTATATTGCTGCATAAGTAAAGGAAGTTGACGATAGAAAAGTTAAAGTCATCACGTTTATCATATAGCTTGGTTGTAAGATTACCATTAGTGTCTTTTTCAAGTAAAATATCCAAGTATGAAGCAGAAGTGTCGGACTCTGTGGTATCTTTTATCTCAAGCTCACCAGGATATATCGTGTCGACGTAGGAATGGAAATTATCATTATTAATTGACAATACGTCGTCGATATATCTAAATGTCGAGTTGAAGGCCACAGCAAGTGTTTTCTTCTTTTCACGTAAAAGATTTTGCATAAATTCTGCTTCATATGAATATAAAAATAAAAACCATGTATTTGATTTTTTTTCTTTTTGTAAGTATTTAAAAAAAAATATTTGCTCATTTACCATTATTCCCCTTGGTTTCGTCGAAATGTAGCACGGAAGAGGGACAAAATTGCAGAATGAAACCACACTTAAGGGTAGGATAATGAAGTATTGTTTACTTTTTTAATAGCAAATTCCTGCCTTGAAAAGAAGAATTCTTCTGCATTTACGATTTGAAACATTAAAATTTTGCAGTGTGTAATCTTTTTTATGATTCTAGATTTTAGAAGTTGACTCTTAAAAATTCCACTTTATCAACATAGAAAGCAGTCAAACAAATGGAAAAATACTATTACCATCCCGAGTTAAAGAGTCAAAATGTACAGAAAATACAAATTACATTAGCTGGACTGTATGTATCACTACGTTTCTGCCAAGAGCTATTGCTTTCAAGAGAATAGATAAAAACAGTTACAATTTACAAGAAACTACAAAAATTCAAATGAAAATAGTTGTTATTTTTCATCCATGAAGATAACAAAGTTCTACCAATTGATCTGTGTGAATTATGTTTCACTAAATGATTTGAAACTCAAATTATGTAAACAAAATCTTGAAAAATGTATTTTCTTGTCTTGATACACATTATTACATCATAACAATTTGACCTTAATTTGTGCGAAAAAACCACGCGCATCACTGATAAGTCCTTCTATGAGAAATCAAGGGAAACTAGACGTGCAAACACGGGGGACCTTTTTAAAACTGAATTTATTTTAATAATTTTATTTATCACCACAGAAAACAAATACTTATGGAAATAGCATAGTACAACCAACTCTGTACTGTATGAAGTTTGGTCCCATCGATGGACAATCACGTGATGAACCCATAATTTGTGTACTGAATGTAGGTCATGAACAAATTTCAATATCGCAGGGGCATACCTTGGTTCAAATTAAAAATTCAAGATATTTGTTTCTGTATACCTTGTAGTTTCTGAAAAATGCTGCCGCTCTGAATGGAATTTGCTTTTTGATAGTTAAAATTTCAGGTAAATAAGCCAATGTCGAAATATGTTTGACTTTTACTAAATATTTTGCGTACTTATAAAATCACACCTTCGTTTTAAAGAAAGCAGCATCACTTTTCAAATTGAGAAAAAATATCCTTCATCTATAATCAAAAATGGTTAAGATCTATTAAGTGTATGTCCTTGCAAAAGTGCGATTTAATGAGGCATCTCGATGTAAAATGTACGTAATTTGTACATAAAAACACGGCTTAATTAATTAATTATATTATATTTATGGTTAATTAATAATCGTACTAAACAATAGTTATGCATTAGTATTAATCGACTATTTAAAACCTGTTAATAATATTCCATTAAGGACATACGCAATGTACCTTACCTACTGATAATTTTTCAAGATATTCCAACTTTAAACTTATTATACCATTTCATGTTCATAGACAAAAAATCGACATGCCTTACGAGGGGTTTTAAAAAGATATTAAATTTTGAAAATTTTTGCATTTTTCAAAGAAAAATGTATAAAAATTACAAAACATAAACTCCAAATTTTTTTTTCATCAAAAAATAATTTAAAAGAGGTGCGTACAAATCCATATATAGACATTAAAAATATTGCACACAGGTCATTCATTTAGTGGAACTCTTCAACTCCAGGGAAGAACCCAATTAAGTTCAAACTATGTTGCGTATGACCTTAAATAGTAAAACACATCTTTCGTTGTTAAAAAATAGCTCAATCTACCTCTCACAGCACATGTAATAAGTCATTTTTACCAAAATGACGTCATGTTTACAAGTTCATCGCGATCAATGCTTTGTCTATAACCAGCTACATGGCATTTAACTAGCAAGTTTTTTTTTTTAAATGCATTGATAAGTTTTGATGTGCTTATTATGGTAATACAGCTAAAAGTTGCATTTTTTTTTCATTTTCAGTTATAATGAGAAATACATAAAAGTCATATTTTTATGTGACGTCACAGTACAATTTTCCGGTATAAATTAGGCCCCGCCCCCTTATCCAGCCTTAACATTGCTGCGTGTGAGCTTAAAAAGTTTAGAATATATATGCCTTAAGCAAGCTGAAAATTTACCTGATTGGTTGTCATATTGTTTAATGTTTTGATTGCAGCACAGGAAGGAACAAGTCAATACTGCAGGAGATCAGGCTGTTGCGGGAGTTGTCTTTGCGAACAGTTCGGGGAGATTGGAAAATGCATTTGTTGTAAGTCGCGTTTAAATATTGCAAATAACACATTAGTACCGCATTGAGCTGGATATGTATACCTGGAAATGTTCGTTCATGATAATATGTTTGGAAAGAAATTTGTCCATGTTTATTTCTTTTAATAAAAAAATAGCGTTTCGTATCCAAACGGTCGTTTTCTTGAAAGTAAAACATATAATCTATAATATTAGTCTCATTAATTCAGAGAACTCAGACGATATTCTTTACTGAACTAATATTTAGTCTTTCACCATAACGCTATAGATCATGTAATGAAAATATATGGTGCAATTAACTTCGCAAGATTTTCTGCGCAATTTTAAGGATAAGAGCGATAGCGCATTTGATAGTCACTTTCACCTATTCTAGTAGCGATTTTTTTTTTAAAATACATTGTTTAATCAACATTTTGCCGTACAATGTTAGTTTATACATGCCTTAAAGCAAATCACAAAAAAAATAATATTTAAATATTAATAGTTCCCTCATATGATAGATATAAAAATATATAAAAAAAAATATATTTAAAAAAAAACCATCTCTAACCAAAAAACAACTTCTAAATAATTTTGTTTGTCTCTCTTACTAGCAGTGTTATGAAAGTACACAGTAAGTTAAATGTAATATCGGTTATTTTCAATGAAAAATTCTGAACAATTTTGGATCTTTTGGATTTTGCAGAATTGAGATAAAACACAATATTAATCAAAATAAACAAATAAATTCATTAACACATTCAAAAAAAGAAATGTAGTCTTTTCATATTGGAGCAGATGGAAGTCATTGCAGTAATACCTTTTCGTCTTGGGGAAAATGGACGTCTTGTAGTGTAACCTGTGGAAACGGTTCCCAACAAAGACATAGGAGTTGTAATGGAACCTGTTCTGGTGCGTCATCAGAATCCAAGACCTGTCATCCAGGCCCTTGTCCAGGTAAAGGCAAAAAAGTTTAAATTAGAATAAGGTGTAATATAATTCAGATATGTTTATTTTCGTTTGACATCTTTTCAAGCAGCAGTAAATGGATCGTGGAGTTTATGGGGTAACTACAGTCCATGTGATAAAACGTGCGGAAACGGCTGGAAAGTCAGATTCAGGAAGTGCAGTAATCCTCAACCGGCACGAGGTGGTCTTCCTTGCATTGGTGATTCACTGGAAGCAGTGCGGTGCAACACGTTCCATTGCCCTGGTATAAACATATCAAACAATCTATTTAAAGAATATAAAAATACTTAGTACTAATAGAATCATTCATTACTACAGTATAATAACAAATATTCCCCCATCAAAGCAACATTTTTAAGCTTGGACAATTTTTTAGCTCACCTGAGCTGAAGGCTCAAGTGAGCTTTTCCGATCACATTTTGTCCGGCTTCCGTCTATCTGTCTGTAAACTTTTCACATTTTTGACTTCTTCTCAAGAACCGCTGAACCAAATTTCAACCAAACTTGCAACAAGGCATCCTTGGGTAAACGGGATTTGAGTTTTTTCAAATGAAGGGCCACGCCCTCATTCAAGGGGAGATAATTGGGAATTAATGAAAATTTGGGGAAACATCCTCAGGTATTGTAGATTCAAGATTGTTCAAATCATGACCCCAGGGGGTAGGGCGGGGCAACAATTGGCCGACCAAAGTTTTACATAGAAATATTTAGGAAAAGTCTTTAAAAATCTTCTCAAGAATAACAAAACCATGATTGATCATATTTAGATGGAAGCATCCTCAGGTAGTGTAGATTAAAATTTGTTCAAATCATGATCACCGGGGGGAGGGCGGAGCCAAAATGGCCGACAAATGTTTTACATAGAAATATTTAGGAAAATTCTTTGAAAACCATCTTCTCAAGAATAGCAGAACCCTAACTGGTCAAGGGTTTACTTTTGAATTAAACGTTTTCAATAATCAAAACAATTTATACTTTTCCTAGCCACTGTTCTTAGGTAAGCAATGTGGCCCATGGGCCACCTGTTAATTTTTATATGCAATAAAAGGAATAAAATATTTAAAATTAAAATTGTTTCATGAGAAAAAACCACTTGCTGTGTCCATCAAAATATCATTAAGATACATGTATATTGACGATATGTTTTCAATTAACAATTTACTCTCAATTACATGTCGACTCAATTTATCCTCGTTAGCATATATTGAAAAAACCGGGGTCTAGCACAAGTGCTTCGTATTTGAACATTCTCCTAGAAAATTACTTAAATGGTAACATATTAACAAGGCCTTATTACTTGAACTTAAAATCGTCAACTTCTATAACGTATAAAGCGATATATCCTTATCCCCTGTAAATTGTTTTGATGTCAACCAGGACCCGGTTGTATCAACGTTTCATTTAATTTAATGAATTATTAAACCTAATGATTCATTAAATTCTTTATGATACATAAGTTAATAAAGTCATTAAAGTGTGTTGTACAAAACCCTTATTAGAGTCTTATTACTTAATGAATCATTAAATATTTAAGAATTCATTAAAAATTTATTAACATTAGAGGAATATCCCACAATACAATGCATTAATACTTCTGGGAGTGTATCTGTGGGCGTTTCCGTTGTTTACAAAATACTTATAATAAATAATCTCTAATTAATGAAATAGTTTTTTTTAATCAACCCCAGATAAATATTGTTTTAATTATGACCTGAAAATTAATAAAAAAGTAAAAAAAAAAAAAACACGTGATTTAACGAAGTCTCTGATTGTCTTGAAGGATATAGGCTTAGTAACTTTTTATTTACTCTTACGGAATTCAATTCAAATGTAATAGAAATCAGGGAAAGAAAATTAATTCTAGCGAAATTCAACTTTTAACAGAACTTATGTAGAGAACTGTCGATATCATAAATATAAGTAGCAGGGGGGGGGGGATGGAAGAGAAATACAACATAAAGTATGTGTAATTCGCTTATATTCTTATTCTGTCCACTTGTCTATTATTTGGTATTACAGGCACCGGGGGGGGGGGGGGGGGGCTCCCGTAACACATCTTTTTCTTTTTCCCATTTACGTATTCTTATATGTACCTCTTTTGTCTCAGTAAGCTGTTCATATTCGTGCTTTTTACATTTTACTTTGTTTTTAGCTCACCTGAGCCGAAGGCTGAAGTAAGCTTTTTTGATCACATTTTGTCCGTCGTCCGTCCGTCCGACTGTCCGTCTGTAAACTTTTCACATTTTCCACTTCCTCTCAAAAACCACTGGGCCAATTTTGACGAAACTTAATACAAAGCATCCTTGGGTGAAGGGGAATCTAAATTGTGAAAATGAAGGGACATATCCCCTCGCAAGGGGAGATAATCAAGAAAAGACAAAAATAGGGTTGGGTCCTAAAAAAATCTTCTTCTCAGGAACCACTGGGCCAGTACAGCTGAAACTTATGTGGAAGCATCCTTGTATAGTATAGATCCTTGTATAGTGTAGATTCTAAATTGTTCACATCATGACCCCCGGGGGAATGGCGGGGCCAGAATGGGGAATCAAACTTTAACATAGAAATATATAGAAAGAAATATATGAAAATTTTCTTCTCAAGTAAAAGTACATATTTTAAATGCATGGTATCTACCGGTAATCTTCGGCACTTGACAGTTATAAGATCAGTTTAAATACAAAAGCTTAATCTTGTAATAGTGTTTAGATTATATAAAAACAATCAACTAACACAGGCAATCAATGTAAAAAATGTAGTAATTTGATTTTCATGGTTAATTTAAAAAGATTTCATAACTTTTAATAGATTTGACAAAAGTTCCTTTTGTGTCAATGTTTGTCTTTTTCCACCATGACTCTTTCCAGAAAATGAGAAAAGTTTTTGTTCAAAAACATTCTGCTTTAAAACATTTTTATGGTACCGGAGCTGGGATTTCAAAGCATTGACTTTGTCATACTCCTTTATTCTCAATTAAGGGGATGAAGGATGTATAGTCACGTGACTCAGTTAATATACGTCATAATCTCTGATAAAATATGTAAAAAACCAGATTAAAACCACAGTATTTGTAAAAAAAAAATACTGTTTGTTTGAGTTCACTATCTTGTATAAAAATAACTAAAAACATTCAAACTCAAATTAAGGAATAGATTGATCCTCTCTTCTTTTCCCTACACTGCGCGTCCAACGAGTCGCTGACGTCATAGTTGATCTTAGTACAGTAAGATTATACAAGGTAAAACATGGGTAGTACATAATATCATAAAAACGGGTCATGATCAGTACATGGTTTGATATTTTATGAATTGCTGAAAACAAAAAATATTTTTACATGGTTATTGACGGAAATATATTGTAGTTATGTCTTACTAAGCTTATTTCGCAAATGTGTGACGTCATAGTAGGGTTTTCCCGTACTCGAGAAATGTAAACATGACACGTTTTTCTCATGATCATGACTCGTTTAACTTTGCCCCGTGCAATATTGAGCTCAGCTTCACCAATCGATATTTCTACAGTTAATCAATACAATGACGACCTTGAACTTCGACGTAAATTTTCAAATATTAAATGATAGGATTTTTTGCAAATTAATTTTTTTATGCTATAACTTGTCTTTAAAAAGTCGTAAATTTCCGTCTCCAGATGTGATGTTACAAAAGAATCTTGCTTTTTCGATTTTTTAACCCTATTCATACTCTAAAGTATTTTAAAAGACACATTTCCGCTGGTATATTTTTTATCTATGGTGAAAAATTTCAATTATCGACCGAGTAATGGACCCAGCAACACGGAGAATAAAAACTCCGCTCAGACACTGTGGGGTATAGTATTTGTCACTCAATATCTCAGAAATAAATCTAGAAACCTATTGATATGTCTGCTTTATAAAATGTAGGACATACTAAATAAGATATATACAAAATATGAAAAAAATTAAATGACAGGTATTTTTTTAGCTAAAGGTTCTTCATCCCCTTAACACTCGCGGGCTGATTTCCATAAACCATTGAAAATAATGTCATCACTCTGTTTTTCCAGTTGTGCTTGTTTTTCTTCTCTTTTTTCAGCTCTTTTTCGGAACTCTTCTTCCTGTTTTTTCCTCTCTCTGTCGTTGAATTTCTCTTTTTCTTTTTGAGAATAAATCTCTTTCAGTGGAAACGGATTTAATAGCTTCCGAAATAAGGTCCTCTTTGTTTCTTATTATCCATGTGGATGTCTTGTTCATTAGGAAAAGTGTGTAAGCCTCAAGAGCTAGAGCTGATATATTAGGTTTAGCTTTTAAAATTTGATCCATGTACGCGAACAGTCGCTCGAAATAAGAATTATGTTTGTCCACATTCTTAGTAGCCAGTTAGAGTTCCTCAGTAAAAGTTTCATATTCACCATCTGGCATGTGGTCTTTATAGACATGCAGTACTACTTTCCGGATCGCTGGTAACAAGACACAAAGAATGATTTCAACATCAGTGTCATAATTAAACTCTTTGTTCAGGAATTCAAAAATTCCGTCGCCATTAAGGTAGGGTTCTTCTTTGGTTTCAGACTACATGGAAAATTATAAGTACATTTGTTGATATGTCTTATATATTTAGATGCAAGAAATTTAAAACACCATATTTTTCTTTCCTCATCAAAATTATACAACTTTAAATAGAAATGGTAAACTGTGTTTGAAAATTAGCAGGGACTATATTTTTGGCGGAATGGTGGCGTATGAAAATATCTTCTTTTATAGCTCTCAAAATTATTATAGAACATAAAATTCAGTTATATTTTTTACGCAATCAAAGAATAGACAAAATTTTCAAATGTAAGTTAAATAATAATAAGGGACTAAATTTTCAAAATATATAAAAAAAAATAAGATTTTTTACACATACCAGAACTACGTTGGCTTTTGAATGCTTCAAATATAAGTACAGATTTGAGCCAAAAATCCGTAAAAACTGTTATTTCTCTCTTAGTAAACGATCAAAACGTTTATTTTTTGTATAATTTTGTACCTTTATGTGACAACCTTAATATATGTGAAGATTGGAAAAAATTAAATATAGGAAGCATATAAAAATAACTAATAAATCCTAAAATTTTTTCGGATTAGTAAATATCCATTTTATTTATATTATCCATGTCAATTTAGTAATATTATCTAATAAGCCCTATATGGTAGTATGTCAAAAAAAAAAACATTCAATCTTTTAAATTACAAGAAGGGATCGCATAATTGGAAACAGTAATTTT